TTTATAAACCTGAGGGTGATCTTGAATACATTCATTTCAAGGCAATTTCTCTACTACTGAACAAAACACAAGAAAGATCATGGATGACATCTACTGGCAATAGAGGTAAATGCATTAGTTAGTAACAAACAGAAATAAGCACTGAAACAAGACTTGTCACATTAATCACTCATTTTCATAGTAAATAAAATAAAATAAAAATATATACATTTCTGATCTTTCCATGCAGCTGGAAAACAAAATAACGTATAATGCCCGTTATTATACGATAGCTTGTTTTGGTAGCAAAGACTGTCAAAAATAACAGTTACCCTCAGGAATATTGAATATTTGTTTTTTTCTGCATTCAATAAAAGATTCCAATTTTAATGCTGCCTATCTATTTCTGTCCATTATAGAGATATTGATTAATAGGGTGACTTTATTTTTATATATTTTTTATATTTGTATAATAGTAAATCATCAATTCTAAATAGAGCTACACCTCTCTTAATTCCCTTATACCCACACACAGGCTAAAATGCTCACCAGCATGGGGCAAAAGGCACACATTATTTATACAAATACGTTTTGTTCAAGTTAAGTAATAATCACTTTAGAATCACTTTAAAGTTTGCACTATTTTCTGTTTATTTTAATAAATAAAATAATATTTTTGGTTAAATAAATATATATAATATAAAATATTTTTTAAAAATAATACATAAAGAAATTATTTTAAAAAGTAAAGATTCTGAAAGCATTGAATGAGATCCCATAATAATTTTATATAGTGTAGCGTTTCGCTACTAGGAGTAACCAGCAGGGTAATTTCTTCTTCTGATACTTTATCACGCTTTTTGGACGTGCGCATCATAATAAACAGACTTTTCCAATAAATGTGTCATATATCACTGAAAATAGGAGAATCTCATGCTTTAATGTGGTATATGGCACATAGTCATGATAATTATGGTTCAAATGTGTTGCGTACGTTTTAAAAATAAGTTTCAGTCTTAATACTCAATATTAAAGATATCAAGGTTATATTTTAACAGAATGTTCTTTACATTATGTTGGATGATATAGGTTGATATATGATGATACAAATGTCACATATGTTGAGAGTGTGTATGAGGTTGATTGACAGGCCAGTTTACATTGCCAGAATGCATGTAACTATGAAAAAGAGCACAGTTTTATGACATGGTATATCCTAAAGCTTGCCTTCTTTTGTGACTTACTCCAGTATCCAGTAAAAGTATCTACTTTTTCTTCTTAAAAAGACTGTGTTCCGTCCACATTGGAGGAAGGATGCAGATAACAGTTAACACCAAAATCCATAAGCTGACTTCCTGACTTCCCTGCCAGATATTTAATGCAATGACTTCCACCTATTTTTAAGTGTTCTATTATATTATTGGGTCACTTTTGTCTAAAATTCAAACTCAACCATGCAACAGCGCTATAATCTTAAAATTCCTTAAAATGATTGATCGTAGATTATGCTACATCACACAATTACAATTGACAATTCCTGAACCAAAGAAACAGATGCTGGAAACAAAATGAAAATGAAAAACAATTTAAAGAGTTCAATAAACAAGAATCATGTTCATTCTGTTATCTTTTTATTGCAAAATGTCTAATCAAAAATGACTCAAACACACTTTTTAATGACTCAAACAGACTTGTAGTGCTTTATTAGACATGTGGTTCCAAATCAGAATAACATCAGAATGTTGATTTTATAATACTTAAATAAAAAAATTCAAATAAATGCAAATTCATTTTAAAAAGTTACTTTGACAATAGTGAAATTTGCACAGGATTTGAGTGTGACCACCAGATGTTACTGTGATTATAATTGTCTGCAACTCACTATAGCCAGCTATCAAAGTTTCCACTGTTAATAGTATAATTTAAACAATGTTTAAGAAAGTAATTAAACTTTATATTAAGAAGCTTGAAGCTGCCTCCAAACAAATATGGAGAAAACTAAATTCAGTGTGAAAATAATCTGAACTAATCAAACTTAATTTTTTTTAACAAAATGAACCACATTTTAAACATTTAAATGTTGTTAGTTGAAGAAAAGTTTGGGAGAGAATGTTGGGATTATAGTAAAAAAAACATTACTGTAAGTGTAGGTAATACAAGTATAATGCATTGCTGTTGCCGCCTCAGCTGTGATATACAGCTGTGGGGACAGTATGTCCTATAAAACTCAATTTACATACAATAAATACACAAAAACTGTCAAACACTCTTGTTTTCTTTAGCCACTTCAGGGTACATACAGCATGCTCAAGCTAATGAATAGTTAATTGCTTATAGTTTTATTTGGGAAGATAATGTGGGCGACTTTCAGACCCATGTTGGCAATGAAAATACTGGATTTTTCTTGAGATGTTACAGCGATTTATCATCAAACTTCTGGCAAATGTTTTAGACATGTATGCAGAAGAGACATGAGTAAAGTGCATGTCAAAGTTACAGTCAAATCAATTCCTTTATGTGGAATTTTGATCTATGAATGTCTGACTCATAAACTGATAAAAAGTTGCTTTAAAGGAAATATATATATGTATTGCGTCAGTATATGAATAAAATACTAGTCTACTTAAAATGCAGTCTGTTACAATAAAGAAAGCCCTTATGTCCAACAAACAACGAGTTAAATACAAAAAAAAAAAAAGTTTTAATGTGATTGTTATAAAGCTCTTTCATATTTCACTTTCACCCACAATAGCACCTTTGACACATTTGTTTAAGGGTATATTGTTAAATCTCAACTTATTAAAGCATAGCACATTCCATTTGTTGTAATTTGTGGAATGAAAATGAGACTGTGAGGCCCCTGTCTAACCAGACATGGATGCATAAACCACTCAGTAGGATTGGATGTTAACATCTAATTTTTACAAACAATGTATTCTAAAGTTGTTTGTGCACAGTAACACAGTAGTATCTATTTTGAACAGACTGTATTTATGTCTCTTCATTGCCTCATTTTTGTTTGCCTCAAGTTAAATATAGGCTCTGCCCTGACAAAGGTCCTCACAAATGTGTCTACATGGGAAGTGCCCAATGCGGCGCATCACCTTCAGTTGGCCTAGTTTAGATTTTTGACATGTTGCAAAGCTACTGCAGGCGAAATATTTTCCTGTCTGAATTGTATTATTATTTGTTTTAAAACTATCACTTGTGAATTGATTGATATGATTTTCTTTTCTTTTTTTTATTATATGGTTTTATATTTTCCCATATTTTTATGTTAGTAGACTATATTTTATGTTATGTTATTTTATTACACGCCGCTATGGAATACTTGATTCTGATTGGTCAATAGCGCCATCCAGCGGTATGTTATGTAAGGGATAATGTAGAGCGAGGCGGTTGTTTCGCGTCGGGGTTGTATTCGCTATAACAACCGCCTCGCTCTATAAATTATCCCGCTTATTACCTACCAAAGAAATCAATAATTTGACACAAAATATTGATTTAAAAAGGAGTTTATTGATTTAAAGGAGTTTATCCTCCAGAGTGAACAGAACAGAACTATCAAGACCGCATTCTACATTAGAATTCAACCAAGCCATGTAATAATCCCAGATAACAACCGCTCAAAACAGATAATGCAGGCTCATCCTGTGTAATATGTGACTGTATACCGTATCTCTTAAATGTCCGTCTAGTTTGAACTTGCCGCATTAGCAACTGCTCTCTCCGCAGAAGCTTTGTGTTTAAAGACATAATAAAATATTTCGACCAATATTTCGTGTCTAATTATTCAGCCGTGTAGTAAGCGGGATAATGTACATCCAGCCGGTTGTTCCCATAATATATAACTTCTTACATATAACTTCTGACCATTACATTAAATTAATTTAAATTATTTTTAGCCATAGAAAAACACTTACCCCTGTAAAAATACAAATATAATAATAATAATATAAAATAATAACAATAATAATGTCAATTTTTATATCAGTGAATTTCCATAAAATTTTAAACATTCTGGATAACATCTGAGAGATGACATGCGGATTTGACACTTCCAGTGTAGACAACCTCAAGACAACAATGTGACAGTTACACCGTGGCAATGCGTTCCAAATAATTCATTCAGGTTCTGAGCCTTAAAAATGACTTTGTTGTTTCAAATTGTGTTTTGTTTGCTGAACCTGATTTTACCAATCAGATTTAAGGGACAAGTTTACAGTTTATATCAAGTTTAGGCTTACGCTGCTTCTGCATCAGTGTTATTCTCCTATCATTTTCCTCTGTTTTTAGGGATAACTTATGGGTTGGGTTGGGTTGGGTTAGGTTTAGGGGTAGGTATATGATTATGATTACATTTTCAGACAGGAATGTTGTTCCAGGATCAACAAAATTGACCCAGGAACACCTCTAACTCTGCAAAATCAGGATGTGCATTCTGCATGCTGTAATTTATTGTGTCAGTTTTTTTCTGATTTAAAGAGATTTAAAATTCTCTCATCATTTGCACACCTTCATATTGTTCCAAACTTAAAACAACACAAATTAAGATATTAATAATCTCTCATAATTTTCATAAAAAAAATATTTTGTTCTCCTGTTGACCATATTTGGTGTGCTATTTGTATGTATTTTATGTAAATAAAACCCTAAATTAAATCTGTTTTCCATATAAATTTACAGTGTCTCTTCAGAAGACTTGGATTAAACCGCTTGATTCATATGGATTACTTTTAGAATGTCTTTATGTACTTTTTAAAGCTTGACTATGTTGGTTGCGTGGACACAAATAACGAGAGAGTATTAAAAATATCTTAATTAGTGCTCAGAAAATCAACAACATGACGGTGAGTAAATGTTTAATTACCGTATCAGGTTTCATAATTAAACCTGACACTAAATTTCAAATTTTAAATATGTAAATTTTCATATTGTCTGATTAAATTAAATCTTTAATCGTATATTAATGTTAAACTACAATAAAGAAAAGCTTTAATTACATAATGTTATATAGTACAATGACAAAGAGAAACACACAAAACGTGTCATGAAAACAGACAGGTGTTTCATTGAAGGAAAAAAAAATATCCAGTGAATATGATTAAGTCCATTGAAATTAGAAGTCTAATCTTTACAGAAGTTATAAATCTATCAATGCAGCTGGTCAATGAATCCATTGGAATTTCTACACCTGGAACTCAAAAATGTCTGCTTGTTTCTTGGCCAGTTTGGCCACCTCATCACGGATGGCTTTGACCAAGGTTGAAGTGGAAAGGCTGCTGAGAGGGACGCTGGTGATCGGATCTCCAGGCTCTGCTAGACTCTGCTGGGACGCTGCGATGGAGGAAGAGGGTGGATGGTCTGGACCACCCTGAATGGCCTGGCGGTGGTGCAACAGGAGAGGGCTGCCCTGAGGATAGTGAGGGTGAGGAAAGGCCTCTGCGTAGCCTGGTAAGGGCATCTGAAATAGAAAACAGGTAACATCCAACAATGCCTGAGCTAAAACCAGTCAGCAAAGGTGTATTGTTATTTTTTATTGAGTCTTGATCTGTGCTGCAGTTGACCAAACTCTACACTTAAAGAAGGGAACCAATAGACAAATGCACAAGAAAGAGACACTCACGATAAGGAAAACAAAAAGCTTAATCTACTAATATAATAAGTATTATTAGTGACACTCCATTCAAACAAGTTTGAATTGTGTGATTTGATAATTTTATTTAAACTATGAATTATGAAATCATAAACACTGTGAACAAGGGTCACATTGTCACCAGGGTTGGGCATAGTTCAAAATGTAAGAATTGACTCCTCGAGTGTAAATTTGAATTGAATTGGCCACCCCGTCAAAATGCTTAACCCCGCCATCAAAAAAAAAATGTCCACTGCCGAATTGTTTTCAGTTTAATTTATAAAACTAAATATAAATACCTAAAAATGTGGCAGTTCATTCCGGGAAATAATGTTGTTGTTGTTTTTTTTCACATTTAACTATTAAATAAAAAAGTATTTTTTACATATAATTACATTCATCTGACTGGACAAGGAGGTCATTTCATTGTTTGTTTGTTTTACTCTTCTTGTCTGTGTTTACTGCAAACATTTTGAAACTTCTTGTTTATTGAACAGGGTTGATGAAAATCTTAGGGGCAAAAGTTAAGAAAGTTCTTAAGATAATTTCCAAGAAGTTTGTACGTACAGTATGTTCCTAAGTGCAATTCATAAAAACTGAAAATTAATAAAGAATATTAAAAATAACTTCATTTGTTTTTCAAAGATGAACATGGGTTTGGAATGACATGAGGGTGAGTAAATGATGGCATAATTTTCATGTTTTGGGTGAATTAATAATTTTAGAAGTTCTCAAATGTTAAGCTATATTTATCGATTTTAATACTTTTGAAGACAAGGCTTTGATGTGGTCTTACTATCCCACTAATGAGGCTGCTTTGTCTAATACAACAAATTCTAAACTACATTTAAATCTTAACATATCTGATTGATATCTCTGCCTCAGATGTCACACCCATGGATCGCTGGCTGAACGTCTGATGCATATGGTACACTTAACTGGAAACACTTAAGGATTTACGAAGTCGTAAATCTTATCCTTGGGGGTTTCAAGACAAATGGGAGATTATCCTAAATTTAAAGCATTATTTACTATGATTTTTAAATCTTTCCCCACCAGCATTATTTAAAAAAAGGTTGCCAGCCACTGCCAGCCTTTTTGATCATTTTCACAAAAATGTAATGGCCCCCAGAATATTTTGTTGTGTGAATATTTGAACATGCAACGTATTCAAAGGAAAGAACAGGGCCTTTGCCTTTAAACTTAAATTAAATTGTTTTATTCTAGCTTTTTGAACATTTTGAACAAAAAAGCTGAGAAAATTACATTTTTACAAGCCTTCTATAAGGTGCATAAGCAATGCTTTTATCGCTTGCTTCTGCTTCTTTTTTCCCCTGTGTTTTGATCCGGGGTTCTGTACTCTTTCAGATGATAGATGTGTAATAGCCCTACCCTACCATATAACGGTGAAAACACGTTATATTCCACCAATGCCAGGGAAGCATTGTGTCATAAATGACGGAAAATTCCATCAATGGCAGGGAAAGAGTTAAGAACATTCTTTTTAATAACCTGAATTCTTATTAAGATCTAATAAAAGAAAATAGAGCTTAGGAAGAATTGTAATCTTAAGAATGTTTTGTGCCCCTGATGTATAAAAGAAGATTATCAGAATATTTCTATAGGTTAAAGGAATTTCATTTCATTTTCATTGAATTCTACTTCCTTAAATTCTGCACAATATTTTCTACTTTAATTCAAATCAGTAATATGAAAGTTTTTTTTTTTTTTTTTTTAAAGTCAATTCGATTCTGAATGGCACACAACCCTGCTTGTGACAGATGAAAGAAAGAAAAAGAAAAGTGTTCATTTGAAGAAATGTGCTCAACTACCCCGGAAATTTGTAGTTTCCACTCAACGTCAGCGATAAATTCAGTTCAGCAAATGGTTTCTAAATGACACTGGTTCTGCAAAAAGACACCGTGTGAATGCAGGCACACACAAACAGGGATAAGAAGGACATCCAAAAAGACGAGCCTTGCACCCAAGGGCAGGTCACATGATCAGACAGAATGTACCCCAAATTCAGAACAATTTATAGAAGCACATGTGACAGACCAGTTCTGCTTCTCTTGGTTGCAGTCCATGAGGTTTACTCCACATTAAGTTGTATTAGTGGTGCATGCAGTCTTAGGATGCAACCCAGTTTGTGAAGCAGAATTGGACAACTAATAAAGAACCGATAAATAAATATGATAAATGTATTCTTACAGATTCTGCCCACTGAGGAGGCACGTCCTCGGGTTCGGGCGGGTAAGACATCCAGGATGGGCTGTGATAGGAGGAGGGTGGTGTAGAGATGAAATATCCTGTGCATCCTGGACGAGTGGCTGGGATGGCGTACACTGCTGTCATAGGATTTCCTGTGGGTCAAAAAAGGAAGAGATTTTAGGGTATATTTGAAATAAACACATGCTATTATTAAGCATATTGGGATTAACTCATCTTTACATATTCTGAAGGAAATATGAGTAGTGTTTGGCTGTGCCATACTCATGGCCATGATGCTAAAAAGTTGCTACGGTGCTCTGTGTGGTTGCTATGTGATTGCTTGCTATTTGACGTCAAAATAGCCCACCCAAAAATCTATGTTATTCTTTTCTAGATATGGGTCCAGTCCTTCCTTCAATGTAAGTTTCTGATGTTTTCACATTTTACCATCAGCCAAGTCATTTAAAAAAAGTAACAGCCCAACTCTCGTCAACAAGGTTTACAATTTGAGGTATCCTTCACGTGCAGATCACCAATGATCCAGGAAAGGTGTTAAACTTCCCTAACTTAAAGGGATACTCCACCGTTTTTTCATATTAAACTATGTTATTCCCTTAACTAAGACGAGTTGATACATACCTCTCTCGTCTCAGTGCGTGCACTCAATCGCTCTGACGCGCGGTGACACTTTGATAGCACAGTTCATTCAATACGTGCCAAGCAGCAGAGGTGGGAGTAAGTCACACATGTGCAAGTCACAAGCAAGTCTCAAGTCTTAACCTTCGAGTCTCAAGCAAGTCCAAGTCAATTTTTTATAAAAGCAAGCAAGTCAAGTCAAGTCACTGCCTTATGTCAAGCAAGTCAAGTCAAGTCACATGCCTTATGTCAAGCAAGTCAAGTCAAGTCGTAGCTTGGGTCACAAGTCACTGGCAAGTCATACAAACGTTTGATGATTTCACTGAATTTATATATTAAAATAAGTTAAAACTACATAAGTTGTGGACAATGGTTTTATTTGCAACATATTTTTTTTTAAATATGCATTTCCACATACAGCTGAGTGGTTACTACAATAAAAATCTAAAAAAAAAAAAAAAAAAAAAAAAAAATGTCAAACTACATAGCCTAAAATGTAAATGTAACTGAAATTAGGCCAACATTAAAGCATGAAAAAATAAATATGCCTCAAACATTGCAGAAGACCATTAAAAGGTATTAAACAATTCACAATTCAAGTATAATGGTTCCTATGCCACCAAATGGCATTCTTCAAACTGGCATCCCCTTTATATAAGTTATATAACAGCCGTTGGCATTTAGCCTATTATGAAGTTAAAACCGCCAATAGGTGGCGCCAAATCACCGTCTTAATGTACGAGTCATAGAAGCAGTCAACTGATTTGTTCAAAATGACAGATTCGTTCTGGAACTAAGCAACTAGGTCACTGAATCACAAATACGCATAACTCTTTCTGTGGCTTGTTTGGAACTATTGTCATTGGAGAAATAGAGCAAAAACAGAAAATATTTGGAATATTATGTCTAAAATGTCACATCACAATATTCACTCTTTGTTTACTGAACTGTTTTTATAAAATCATCACATTTGCAATCACGCCAATAATCTGGAAATAGTTTTTTATATATGTTATAATTATGAAAATAACTCATACTAGGGCCATTTTTCCACCACATTTTGAATTTTGGGTGCATATTAATTCTGCTGGCATTTTTTGCCACCAACCCCCTGATAACATTAAGAGAAACAAACGACAAAACTAACAGTTTTCTATATTGTTTTTCGTCATTGGAAAGAACAACATTTTTGGCTTTAAAGCATTATTTAAAAAGAAATGTGGCAAATGTTATACAAAACATATACCATCATTAATTATCATTTGAATATTGACAACATTAAGCTACATTTGAAAACATGTGTATAAAGAGGCATGTTGTTTTGACCAATATTATTCTCTCTAGATTTAAAGATAGTCAAATTAACTATAACAAACAGGTTAAACAAGCCATAGCTTACTTTTAGACGTGGTGAATGAAGTTCGACTGTTCGAGGTTGTGATGGTCGTCCGATATCCCTTGCCAGTTATTATGCGCACAACAAATCTTCTTGCATGAATATGGTCATTTTCTAGTGTTTATATCCAAAAAGATACGATGCAGGGAGATGTTTTTGTATTTAGCGCGCTCACCGCGATGTAGGCTATTTCCTATTTCTGGGCTTGTGCAGCGTCACGCAATCGCGCAGAATCTGATGACTGACGTCAGTGGTTCCGTTGCTTTCATTTTGTTTATCAATGGATGTTGCGATGATTTATATAAAAATGTATATCAAGTCATTCTCGAGTCATACAGTTCAAGTAAAGTCAAGTCTCAAGTCATTGGATAGTCAAAGTCAAGTCGAGTCATTTTCTTAATTTAGTCAAGCAAGTCTCAAGTCCTTAAATTTGCGACTCGAGTCTGACTCGAGTCAAGTCATGTGACTCGAGTCCCCCATCTCTGCCAAGCAGAGAAGCGAGCAAACACCTCCACGTTTTCCCTATTTAAATACAGTTACACGAGTAGTGTAACTCGACCAAGAATGGTGACACAAAATAAAACGTTGCGCTTTTCTAAGTGTGTAAAGTGGATAACTATAATGTATGGCGGAATACCACAGCAAGTGCTTGGGAGCACTTCGACTCGGCGCATATATATCTATGGACTCGGCGCAGTAATATCATCACTCCGGAGAGGGAGAGGATTTTTCACGTTTGCTCACTTCTCTGCTAGGCACGTATTGAATGAACTGTGCTATCAAAGTGTCACCGCGCATCAGAGCGATTGAGTGCACGCACTGAGACGAGATAGGTATGTATCAACTCGTCTTAATTAAGGGAATAACATAGTTTAATATGAAAAAACGGTGGAGTATCCCTTTAAAATATAAGCATAACTACACTCAACATAACTACACTAAAATGAAGGTTCTTTATTGGCATCAATACATAGTTTAGGCATGAAACTCTAACCGAACGCTAATTAGTTCTTTCAATGCTGCGGCACCAGCCAATCAGAAGTACTTCCACTTAACCATATATATCGTACCCTAGCTTGCGATCGGCACGCTGCGCGATGTGAAAGCTTCTGTTATCCATCCTCCTCCTGTCACAGTGTCTGGTTGGGGTTCCCTGGGTGTCCACTAGAGGTCTCTCTCCCTTATCGTCACCAACTCATCATGAACTGCAATTCCCATAATCCTTTATCTGTACTCATCATCTGATCATTGCACACAGCTGTTCCCACTCACATCGTTTGCACCTGGCTATTTATACCCTGGCTGCGTTCCAGTCCACTTTTAGACACGCACTTGCGAACTTCCCTAAGCACTTCCCCTCGGGGGAATCCCTGCCGCCATTTTGAAGTGCGTTCCACTTCGTGAACTGGACGAGGGAAGTTTATATGGACAGACACTTGTTCCCTCGATTTTGACCGAGGGAGCGAGTCTACTTCATATGGCCCAATCCCAAATGGCACACTTCATGTGCACTTTCGGTCTTGTGGACTTACAATGGCTTCCGCGTGCGCGTGTCCGTTAAGTCCGTGAGACCGCAGTGTGTCCCATTTGTCATTTTTAGATCTCTGCGGTCGATTTGCGCCCTTGATGCGCACTTTTGCCGAGCCCGCGCTGATGCGGACTCCACAGCAGACTTCTTCCCGACATTCAAAGCGGCGTTACGTCGCGAAAGTGCGGACTCAGAGGAAGACCGCGAGTGCTTAGGGTTCCATTTGGGACAGGGCCTATGTACACTTCAGGCAGCTCCATATACCACAATGCAACACAATTGTGATGTCACCGCAGATCTCGTCTAATCACCACCACCACAAACAACTGATATATTAATTATATATATTTTTAATTTAAAACAACCCAAACACACCTATATACATTTAGATGCTGCATTAAACAAATTCTTAAAGGAAAAATAAAATAAAATAATAAATCAACTCCATGGCTGATTCCAAGTGATCAAGGGCTTAGGACGTTCCAATCCAGCCAATTGCAGTTTCCGCCAGTAGTGGGCACTCGTGCAACGTAAGCAATGACGTACATCCGAGTGAACAAGACGGAGGGAAGTTAGCGAGTGAAGGGCATGACAATTTTGGACTGGAACGCAGCCCCTCTGTTTCTGTGTTCATTGTGGATTCCTTGTTTATTGTCTTGTTGCACTTCTTTGTTTCACTCCTGATTGTTTCTTGTTTTTGGACTGTCATTTATGGATTTTGACCTTTTGCCTGGCTGGATTGTGAGTAGCCTACAGATTACCCTAATAAACTGCGCTTGGATCTTACCTTTTCTTGTGTGCATTACGTGACTCCTCCCAAGAGCCATCTGTAGAGATCTGCTACAGGGGTTCTAACATTTCTTGCAGCAGCCTTTCCTTTGTTATTTTTGACTAAGCTGAACAAATTATTGTATTTGCTCAAAGTATTTGGCAAAATCAAGCCTATGTATATTCCATGTCCCATGGAAAATAAATACTAGTTGAAATGTATCCACTCTGAGAGTTGTCATGACTGAAATGTTTTTATGAAGAACCTTCAACATCCATGAAACCTTTCCATTGCACAAATGGATCTTTAAAATCGAAAAATGTTCTCCAGATTAATAATGTTCTTCACACGAAAAAAAAAATGGTTTTCCCTGAAAGATTCTTTGTGGACCAAAAAATGGTTGTTCTATGGCATCACTGCAAAAATCTCTGGTTCACTTTATTTTGAAGGTCACTTTAACACAATCTGTTGACTATAAGTAACATTGCACCTACAGTACATGTCTACTAACTCTCATTAGAGTGTTAGTAGAGTATTAGTAGACTGGTAGGGTTACCCCTAAAATCCACTGGATCCGTCTACGGTGCGCAACGTCAGCGCCACGTTTTTGATGCGTCCCTAGCTCGGCGTCAAAGTCCACTGGAAGCGTCTCAGACGCGTTTCAGCAGCGGAGCATTGGTGACTTCAATCGGAGCGTTGTTTATTTGTTGTTCATTTGTCCTCTTTTGACGCGGGAAGTGGCGAAAATAGACCTGCTACCTATTCTCTGGGGAGCGGAGCGGAGAGACGCTTCTGGGACGCTTCTGAGACGCGCTGCGTCCGCAGCTGGTGGATTTAAGAGCATTGACTATAATGGCCGCGATTAGTGTTATGTGGATAGCAGATGAACCCAAATGCAGACAGCAAATAACTTAAACAGGGGTTTATTAAAGACAAAAACAGAAAGCAAAACCCACGATGGGGCAAAACAAGACAGGATCGACTTGACAAAGATAAATACTCAGACGGTAAATAACAACTATGACAGGAACAAAACACTTCTTTAGACAAGACTCTCTACAAGATACTCACAGCTAGAATCACACAACGTATGATAATGAATCGCACAGGACAGCAAATACACAGGGATTAAATAGGGAACACTAATGACGAGGACAGGTGAAACTGACTAGACACTAATCACAAGACGAGGATAACAAGGGGGCGGGGTTACGAGATGAGACAACACAAGCACATGGTCCAAATAACAGACCATGCGCTTGTACATAAAACATGGGTCTGCCATGATCCTGCCACAAGACCAGAGAAAACAGAGACATGATGGCAGAATCATGACAGAACCCCCACCTTAAGGAGCGGCTTCCAGACGCTCCTCAAAGGGAAACTAAACACGGGACATGACAGACTGTGACAAAGACACGAACCAACAAAACATGGAAACCACTAATAAAGGCAAACACGAAAAAACAATAACAGGGTTAGGGTGAAACATCAAAAACAACATACAGGGTAGAGGAGGTGGAGGAAACACAAAGTCTTTGGGAGACAGTCCAGGGTGGATGGGCGGGACAGGGGTCTTGGGTCTTCGGGACGAGGGCTGAGGACGGGGAATCCGGGGGGACTTGGAGGAAGACACACAAGGACGGGGCTTGGGCGAAACAGTCCGGGGTTTCGTGGTGACTGGGGGAACAGTCCGGGGACTAGTGGCGACAGGGGAAACAGTACGGGGACAAGTGGCGACAGGAACAAATGGTGAAACAGTCCGGGGACTAGTGGAGACGGGGGAGACCGGGAAAACAGATGGGGATACTGCATTTGAGGGAGCAGCAACAGGCTCAGACATAGAGGACACAGAGGATGAGGTAACGGGACTCCTGACAGGGGACATGGCAGGCGACAGGACAGGACTAGGTGTAGCGCTCACGGCGACGGGCTCGGGTGCAACGCTCTCGGCGACAGACACGGGTGCAGCGCTCTCGGCGACAGACTCGGGTGCAGCGCTCTCGGCGACAGACTCGGGTGCAGCGCTCTCGGCGACAGACTCGGGTGCAGCGCTCTCGGCGACAGACTCGGGTGCAGCGCTCTCGGCGACAGACTCGGGTGCAGCGCTCTCGGCGACAGACTCGGGTGCAGCCACTCTCGGCGACAGACTCGGGTGCAGCGCTCTCGGCGACAGACTCGGGTGCAGCGCTCTCGGCGACAGACTCGGGTGCAGCGCTCTCGGCGACAGACTCGGGTGCAGCGCTCTCGGCGACAGGCTCGGGTGCAGCGCTCTCGGCGACAGGCTCGGGTGCAGCGCTCTCGGCGACAGGCTCGGGTGCAGCGCTCTCGGCGACAGGCTCGGGTGCAGCGCTCTCGGCGACAGGCTCGGGTGCCGCGCTCTCGGCGACAGGCTCGGGTGCCGCGCTCTCGGCGACAGGCTCGGGTGCCGCGCTCTCGGCGACAGGCTCGGGTGCCGCGCTCTCGGCGACAGGCTCGGGTGCCGCGCTCTCGGCGACAGACTCGGGTGCCGCGCTCTCGGCGACAGGCTCGGGTGAAGCGCTCTCGGCGGCAGGCTCGGGGGCTGGGGATAAGACAGGACAGACTGGGACTTCAAGGATTCTAGCTAGACTAGACAAATAATCAGACAGGGTCTTTGCAGCAAGGAAGATGGGCATCTCATGACGAGCAGAAACCGATTTCAAGACCTCTTTTGCGGCTAGATCGGCCGCGAGTCTCTCCGTAGATTCTGGGACGGCGCTTGCTGGAGCGGCCTCTAGGGCGGCGCTTGATGAAGCGGGCTCATGGACGGCGCTAGCTGGAGCGGGCTCATGGACGGCGCTAGCTTGAGCGGGCTCATGGACGGCGCTAGCTTGAGCGGGCTCAGGAACAGCGCTTGCAGATACAGGGGATGATAACAGACCAGAGACTCCCCTCCTCCTCTTCTTCTTCTTAGGTCGGGGAGCAGACGCCGTAGCTGGACTGGAGGCCGGTTGGGAAACCTCCACAGGAACCGTAACTGGTCCAGAAAGGGCAGTCTCAAACCGCGCTGACTCTGTAGCGGAGGACTCCGAGGCGGACTCCCACGAGGCGTGTCTGCCCCGTTTGCCGCAGAGACTAGTGGGTGGAGATGATGTCTCAGGGACTGAAGCGGCGTGGGCCTGGTCCCCAAGTGTGACCACCGCTAGTACACGACCCTCCGGAATCACAGGCAGCTTGGCGGATGGTGAGCTCGAGGGTGTCTGTGACTCTCTCCGCGATAAACGATCCACCATTTCCGTGAACGGACGGGTCACCAGCTCCTCCCGTTCAGCCAGGGGCGGAGGGGAGTTGAGACCTGCGACGAGGTAGCGGTTAAGGAGGAGTTCTGGTAAGAAAAACCTCCTTTCATTCGCGACCCGAGCATACTCCCTTACCGATCGCTGTCCCTGGGCGGGAATCGGGAGTTTGCCCCTCTTTGCGTCAGCGATGGCCTGGTGCCACCAATCCTTAGGGTCCGACTGGCAATAGACAGGCGAGGACATACTGTCCGCTGGGTTCTGTATTTGGCGATTCATTCTGTTATGTGGATAGCAGATGAACCCAATTGCAGACAGCAAATAACTTAAACAGGGGTTTATTAAAGACAAAAACAGAAAGCAAAACCCACGATGGGGCAAAACAAGACAGGATCGACTTGACAAAGATAAATACTCAGACGGTAAATAACAACCATGACAGGAACAAAACACTTCTTTAGACAAGACTCTCTACAAGATACTCACAGCTAGAATCACACAACGTATGATAATGAATCGCACAGGACAGCAAATACACAGGGATTAAATAGGGAACACTAATGACGAGGACAGGTGAAACTGACTAGACACTAATCACAAGACGAGGATAACAAGGGGGCGGGGTTACGAGACGAGACAACACAAGCACATGGTCCAAATAACAGACCATGCGCTTGTACATAAAACATGGGTCTCCCATGATCCTGCCACAAGACCAGAGAAAACAGAGACATGATGGCAGAATCATGACAATTAGCTCCGGCATCCGCGATGCTGACGTTCCGTGCCGTAGACGGATCCAGTGGATTTTAGGGGTTAGGGTTAGAATAAGCTGACATGTTGGCAAAGTTACTTATAGTCAACAGAATGTTCAAAAGGTACCATTAAAACAAAGTGTTACCAAATCCCCTTTTGGAAACTTTATTTGAACAACATTTTGAAAGGGAAAAAAATTGTACTGTAACACTGCTTGAAGAAAAGTCAAATTCTGAAATATATGGACATAGTAAACTCCCGATGAACTTCTCGTTTGCTGGATGTACAGTATGTTGAAAACATGAAATGGTAACATGGAACAGTATATTTTTAAAAACACATTACTCATATGGAAGTATAGTACAGGAATCCATCAATGTTCATGGACATACACGGCTGAAATTTTGCTGGCTGTGAGGTGTGAAGGCATTTCTGAATGTTCAACATTATTGAATGTTTGTAAACCATAGAAAAACAATTGAAACACACACTAACCTGAGTGGTTGGTAATGGGCTCAGTAGTGACAGGAGGGAGTCTGCTGTTTTCCATGTAGGGGGCACTTCCATGCTGACTCTGCATTGACAATTCAGAGCAATGACCCTTTGGACCAAGATCAGAAGATGACCTGAAGAACATAGCAACAATTTCATACATGAATTGACATGGTTTTACCACCAGGTGATAGTGTTGATTTATGTGGAAAGTCAATATGCTGCCTTTGTACAGACAGAATTAACACAAGTTATATGGCAGACTTCATGAAAATACATGTTTGAATTTAGCAGCATTAGAAAACTTTATTAATCCCTGAAAGGGGAAACTCATTTTCCACCATTGCAGATTACAAACACCACAAATAGACAAATAAACATTAAAAACAACAATCAGTACATACAAAAATTACACAACTTCATTAAAAAACCTAACCGCAGTAGGAATAAATCACCTTCTAAATCGCTCTGTAGAACACTGAGGCATTACTAATCTTCCACTAAATGAGCTTTTAAGTCCACTAAAGATTCAGTGTAGTGGATGACATTTGTAACAGAGAATCATTTTTAATTATTCCCTTGATCTCTTCTCCACAATGACCTCAAGTGAATCAGGATTAAGGCCAATAACCGAACCAGCCTTTCTAATCAAGTTATTAATCCTATTTTTATCATCTACTGTGATACTACATCCCCAACAGAGCACTGCATAAAACAAAACACTAACCATGATTCCCTGATAAAAAAACATAAAGAAGCTTCCTACTGACACCAATAGAACTCAACTTCCTCAAAAAGAATAGTCTTGATTGTGCCTTCTTAAAAACAACCTCACTATTCTTCTTCCAGTTTAATTTACTGTCCAAATGGACACCAAGATAATTATAAGACTGAACCATCACTATTTCCTGACCTTTAATTATCACTGGTAATATCACTTCTTTCTTTCTTTTAAAATCAATGATCAACTCATTGGTATTTTCCACATTCAATTTTAGGAAATTGTAATCACACCATGTAACAAATAACTCAACCTCTCTTCTATAGTCCACATCATTACCTTGATTAATTAAACCCACAAGGGTGGTATCGTCTGAAAACTTTTGTATACAACAAGATGTCTGAGTGTGCCTATAGTCAGCAGTATACAATGAAAAAAGCTGAAATAAACCTGACAATTATTAATGTACCTGACTATTCATGAGCTCTGATTTTGTTGAAGGAATATTTCACCAAAAATATGTCTTTCTTTTGAAATGTTGAGAATAATGTCCAGGCTGCTCTTTTCCAAACAATGAAAGTGAATGGCTATTGATGCTTTCAAGCTCAAAAAAAGAAAATAAGCACAATTAACCCTATAAAGCCAACTGTAACTGTATAATATTTGAAACACAAATTTTTAAGGCCTCAAAATTATTAATGTGATCAAAACTTTGCTGAAGAACGTCTAGGTTACTAATAAAGGAGGGAAAGGAGGGAAAAGAGACTAAGGAGGGAAAAGAGACTTTACGTCAGACTGACGTCATGGGGTTTCGCCTGGGAGCCCAGTCACCTCCAAGTGGTAACAAAATGAGACAATGGACATTGGCCAGTGAGATTTGCATGCCGAGTCACACCTACTCGTACATAAGGGTATAAATATGACCGGCATTACTCACTTCGTTCATATTTTGCTGAGGAACCAAGACAGGGATCCTGGCCATTCAGCGGTGGTTCATGGCTGTGGCAGGGGGGGGATGACGTCTCCGTTCCCTCCTTCAGGGAAAGGGGATTACATTAGTAACCTAGATGTTCAAATTCACTGAACTCTCTTACGAGTGTTGGAGACGCAGATGCTGGCAAGCTGCTGTGTACCCTTTTAGCAACTGCTCTCACATGTCGTAACCTACCCAGCACTCCAAGTAGGCCCGAGGGGAAGTCCTCTATACCAAACAGGATGGAAGGGACAGGACTTACTGTGGGGACGGTCGAAGCTGCTGTTCCTTTATCATGACATTTCATGGGGAAGAGTGCTTCGGATCTCAATTCCCATTGTTTTTCATCCATGACCAGTGTTGTTAACGCTGGGGAAGAGTGCCCAATCCCAAAGGGGGGAATGCTACGGAGACCACACCCTGCCTGAAGGGAGGTAACATGTGGAGGTTACTCATATGGCCTGACCTGTGGGGCAGTGCTACATATGAAAGATCACTGCAGTAGGTTCTCCCGTACTACCGACGTAGAGACAGGGTAGAGCAGAGCCGTCCATAGAAAGACAGAGGTTTACCGTCAGGGACACATATGGGATTACCAAGTGGGAAATCACATTAAATAGGCATCTAGACCAATACAAGGGCTGACCAGACGGGCATGCACACAAGCACTGGGCCTGGCGTCAGACACCTCCACCACGTCTGACTGCTGAAAGGATGCTGGAGGAACTAAACTCTGAAGAGCAAGTAGGCGCTCTTATCCCCCTGTTAGAGACTAATGGTGCTGCAAGTACATTACCTGTTTGTACCCAATACACGGGAAGAAACTGGCTCCACTCAGAGATGATAGAATCTTGCGAATGTGTTAAGTGTCGCCCAGCCCGCAGCTCTACAGATGTCTGCGCCAACGCCCAGGGGGAAGTGAAACCCCGAGTGGAGTGAGCTCTCACCCCAAGGGAGCATGGCTCACCTTGGGACTGGTACACCAAGGCGATGGCATCCACTATCCAGTGTGCCAACCTCTGTTTGGAGACAGCCTTTCCCTTCTGCTGACCCAAGCGGACAAAGAGCTGCCCTGAGCTTCTGAAGCTCTGCGTGCGGTCCACGTAAACACACAGAACGTCAGTTCTGGGAACCAGGTCCGTTTGGGCCAGTACGGCGCAACTAACAAGACCTGCTCCTCGTCCTCCCTGACCTTGCACAGTGTCTGTGTGAGAAGGCTCACTGGGGGAAACGGATATTTGCGTAGGCCCCGGCGCCAGCTGTGTGCCAGTGAATCCGTGCCGAGGTTCCCCTCGGTCAGGGAATATAACAACTGGCAGTGGGCGGACTCCTGGGAGCCAAACAGGTCTACCTGTGCATCCCTGAATCGGCTCAGCTGGACTGCCTTGGGATAGAGTCTCCTGGGAATGTGAGCTGTCGTGAGAGCGCTTCGGGCGCATGACTGAGCTCACCCAGAATATGAATGGCACGCAGCGACCTGAGCTGCTGCTGACTCCAGAGGAGGAGATGGCAGGTTAGTTGCAATATGCGATTGGAGTGTAGACCACCTTAACGGATGATGTACGCAATTGAAAGGCAATTGATATTCCACTGCAGTCTAGGTCCTGTCCAGGACTCAGGAGCCTGAGGCAGCATGCCCATTGCATACGGCACATCACCCGGCGGAGGAGGTATCTGTTGTGACAATAACATGACTGGACACTTGTTCTAGGGGCACTCTGGTCCATAGAAAAGCATGGTCCGACCACGGGCTACATGTTTGAATGTTTGGTGACAGCTCATGTGATGGCCACACAGAGTGTGCCGTGGCGCCATGCCCATCTCTGGACTCGGCTGTGTAGCCAGTGCTGAAGCGGTCTCATATGCATCAATCCGAGCAGCGTGACCGTGGCTGCCAATACCAAATGCCCCAGGAGCCTCTGAAATTGCTTCAGTGGAACCGCTGTCTTCTGCGTGAACATATTCAGGCAGTTCAGCACTGGCTGTCATGTTGACCGAGTCCAACTCCACACCGAGAAAAGAGATGCTCTGCACAAGCGAGAGCTTACTCTTTTCCCAGTTGAACCGAAACTCAAGATGGCTAAGGTGCCAGAGCACCACCCAAAGTGGAGAACTTTGTACTGATCCCTTGAAGCAAAGCCTTGGAACAGACTGCATAGAGGTAAGATCGAGACATGAAAGTATGCATCCTTCAGGTCGATCGGTGCTAACCAACCCTGGGGTGAATGCACATGAGGCTGCTTTTCTGCGTGAGCATCTTGAATGGGAGCTTGTAAAGGGGCACATTCAAGACACACAGTTCCAAGGTTGACCATAACCCACCGCTATCTTGGGTACGATGAAGCATGGGCTGTAAAATCCTACTTCTAGCTCAGCATCGCAGCGGAGCCGGAGCGCTTCTTGCAGGGGGATGTTCTTGGCGACAAGCAGACTGGCCCGATGTCTGCTTCTGAACTGCCGAGAACTGCTGTGTAAGAAGAGGCCACCTTGCGACATGGGAGCATTGAGAGGGCGAGGTCAGTCACCTTGCACCGTGCACATGTCCTGCATCAATCCCGGCTCAGAACTACCCTCGTGCATTAAGTGCTATGGCCATTGCATGCAAGGCGGAGATGGTCTGTCCAGCGGCACTGTGAAGCTTAGCAGCAAGAACTGCCATCGTCTCAACGTCGCTGGACAGGAGCCACGGACAATTCCTCCAGGTGGCAGCCCTTTGCGGGCATAAATTCACTGCAATTTCACACTCCACCTGGGGAATCCCCATGAACCCCCTGACCACCCAACAGTCAATGGTAATGAGAGAGGAAAACCTTTGAACAGATTTTGGCACTAATGTACATGCATACTGCCAAACCTCTTCATGCACTTCCGGGAAAAAAGATGATTTTCGCATAGTGCTCCGAGCCCCGAAACCAATCATCCAGCTGTGATCGTTCAGAATGAGTCTGAGCATGCGGGGGCTCAGGCAAGCATGGCTGTCAACTCTGAATATGATTCAGCATGAGCAAACACAGCCAAAGCAGGAAGCTCAGTGTCATCTTCATATTGTAGCCCACCTTGTAGCCTACCTTGACCTAGACTGCAACTAAATGGCTGCATTTTGTGACCCTTTTTCCTTCTGGTGCTACTGAATTTGAGAGGCTGCTCTCTGCAGAACCAATGGGTGGAGCTTGACATCCCTCTCCCCCTCACTGGATGTAATGGGTGGAGCTAGATGCTCTAACCACACCCTAACCATTCCCATAAACCAGTGTCGAGTACTGATTTCTCTAACCGGGTATGCTGGGTGTTGCACCATGTATATGTTGGACCTTTTATTGAAAGTAGCCTACATTTACCTGTTGAGACATGCCGTTACAAGCATGACGTTTGAGTTGAGGGAAGAGCCATTCAAACTTCACCTTTAAATTGTATGGCGCATCGTCTTAGGACACACAAAAGACTCCAGAGACGACAAATAAGAAACACCATGGCAGGTGTTCATTTAAATGTATGCAGGAGGTTTTTTTTTTATTAAAATGCATATATATATATATATATATATATATATATATATATATATATATATATATATATATATATAAAATACCTTTTTACTGATATATATAAAATACCTTTTTACCTTTTTGATACTTTACTGTCAGACTAGTCTGATAGTTTCTTTCATGACAGTATGTTTACAACAATCAACATCGACATACACTTGATCCACACAAAACAATTTACAATCACAAAAATTTCACAAATTATACATTACACTCCCTTAAACGTTGGATTACAACTTCCACTCCTATACTACGCTATACAATTACAACACTTCAACAACTTCGCTTCTTATATTCTTGTTTTTTGAGTCAAGTTGAATAAGTGTCTTATTCAACTCTAAGATAGCCTGATGCATGAAAGAGTGCTTCAGCCTCACTCCGTTGAATCTTGGAACCCTTTGGTTTGATGGTATACAAACTCATTATGCAGGACATGATTAGGGTCAGAGAATATATTATTAGCCTTAAAAAATTGTTGTAATAAGCTGAATCATATAACTTCTCAAGAAGCTGACCTACAATCCTTGAACACATTTTTATTTGATTAAACAACTTTGTTTTAGTTGCAATATTGCAGTATACTCATAATCACAGACATAAAGAACAACAGAAAATTTAGTTTTCTTACTCCAAATGACTTGAGATGATGAAGGAAGTAGATTATCTGCTTTATTCTTTTACAGAGAGTATGAATATGATCTTTCCAAGGTAACATAATCTATCATCACACCTAAATACTTGTATGTTTTAACCTGTCTAATTTTTCCATAATGAATAACAACAGGCATTATATGAGTATCAGATGTAGACCCAAATATAAAATAATATTAATGATCTTGTCAAGTTGTCATTAATACGAGCCAAAAGTGGAACAAAACAGCGCTACTCATTTGAACCGTACTGAATTAACCATTTATCAGTTCACCCCAAAAGATCCCAGTGTGAGCTTAGAGCGAATGCATTTAATTGCTGACCAGTCTCCATCACAAGATCACTAAACAGCTCTGTGAAATTCAGTGAGAAGTGTTTGAGTTTGCTGCTCTAAAAAGTTAGTCTGGAGCCCAGCAATAACTTTGCATGAGGGACAGACCAACATTTATGTAATTAATCAAACTTGGCAAGGTGCGTTGGTTACAACAATGACATTGTTGACATTATTAATGTATTAATGTCCTTTTCAGTGCATAACTACTTAATAATGGCAAGCTTAGAAGATTTATATAGCGCATAAGTCATAGGTACAACTTTATTGGTACTTTAATGTCATTTTTGGAGCTTGATAGCTCTATTCACATTTACTTTAGCTGTTAGACTTGTGAACATCTCCTTTTGTGTTCCACGGAAGACAGAAAGTAATTTGGGTTTGAGTAAATGATGGAACAAAAATAAGTGCTGAATAAACTGATGCACTAGTCACTGCCATGAGGGAAAAAAGAGGTGTAACAAGGTGTGTGTATGTTCTGACCGTCGTAGTGAGGACTCAGGTGGAGGGCCTGTTCTTGGTGGGACGGGGGGTGGAGGAGACCCAAGAGCCATGTCAGGAAGCTGAGTGAACCTGAATGCCTTTTTGAGAAATTTGCATATTACAGTTCACATAACACTCAAGTGATATGGGTTTTGACCAAGGAAAGAAGTTTTGGTAACATTTTCTATGAAGCCTGCATTTATTATGCATCATAAGGGTATTCTTAAAGGGATAGTTCACCCAAAAATGAAAATTATCCCATGATTTACTCACCCTCAAGTCATCCTAGGTGTATATGACATTCTTCTTTCAGACGAATACAATCGGAGTTATATTAAAAATGTCCTGGCTCTTCCAAGCTTTATAATGCCAGTGAATGGCTTTATATTTTTTGAAGTCCATCAAAGTGCATCCATCCATGATAAAAGCGCTCCACACGGCTTCAGGGGGTCAATAAAGGCCTTCTGAAGTGAAGAGATGCGTTCGTGTAAGAAAAATATTAATATTTAAAACTTTATACGTAAAATAACTAGCTTCCTAACTAGGCAGACAGGCAGACGGCCATACGCATCGATTTACGGTGAAAGAGTAACCCCTTGACGCACAACGTAATAGCGAACGTGGAAGCGCAGAGGATAGAGAAAAAAAACACCGCTCACAAATTAGAAGTCTGAAACGACAATTTTTAAAGAGAAATGAGTTCGCTTAAGGGGCTTGAGTTTGTTGTCCAGCCCTGTTTGTTTGAACCGGGAGAGGCATCAAAGCTTACGCTACTCCTCTTTTGACGTAAGTCGACTTGCGTAGGCCGTCTGCCGGAAGCTAGTTATTTTAGTCGTTAAAGTTTTAAATATGGATATTTTTCTTACACGAACGCACCGTGGAGTAATCGTGGAGTAAATCATGGGGTAATTTTCATTTTCATTTTCAATGCCTTATGAACAACCTTATAATAAAACTTACTTATTTGTGGTTATAACCAGTGCTCGAAGTGGGGCGGTACTCACCGGTCCGCAGTACCAGCACTTCTACATTTTACTCTTAAGCGTACCTGCACTTTTTCTTGCGTACCGCTACTTCTCGCATGTAGCCGGTACTCTATAGCCTACCACTGACAGAAAAAGCGTGACGGCCGTTTAACCCCTTATTTACACTGCACACATCTGTGGCGCGTTACGGCCGCGAAACGGCTACTGGAGCTGATCGCGGCCACCGCAAGCGTGAGCAGCGCGTATTTTTTTCGGCTTGCTTAATCAATGAGTGCATTCACACCGCGAGGAGGAGCGTCGCGTGAGCAGCAGTGAAGCGGGGGTTCTTTTGTTGTGCTCACGCTCATTTAAAGTGAAAGCACACTTTTGATGGAGAAAAATAAATATGATTTCACACAAAAAGTGCCCAAAATGCACAGAATTTGCATGTCTAGTGTGCTTTAACAAGAACTGGAGTAGGCTACGTCAGAAAAGAAAATGAAGACTCAAAAAATTAAATTATAAACTATAAAATAAAAATATTTATACAAGATTTAGCCATTTAAACTTGTCTTAATTATTCAGTTTGGGTAAAACTATATGTTTTATAAATAAATAAAACGAGCAAACTAGTCAGAATCAAGTTTATTAATGACCAACTTCTAAAAAGAGAATGTTTCTTTGTAAAGAAATGCGCACACACACGCACGCACACACACGACTTGTTTAAATACATTTATGTTGTTAATAAATAACAATAAATTGTTGTTGTACCAGAAATATTTTTCACTGTAGAAATGTCAAATGTCATGATTTGCCAATGCAAGAGAGTACTGGCACCTTTTTCCCCCCACTTCAAGCACTGGTTATAACTATTAAGAGTATGATGATTTATAACATACAATGAACATAATTTTATCCACACAGTTATAATGGATTATACACTAGTTTCATATCTTTTACTTTCCCAAGTCTCATATCTTGACATTGTTTACTTAAAGGGATAGTTTACTTTGAAATTAATTTTTGGTATGTTTTAGCTTACCTCAAGGGCATCCAAGATGTAGGTGTCTTTGTTTCCGCAGTAGTTTCAATTTTGATATTTTTAGGTCAAACTGTTCTTGTTTGTCAGTCATATAATGCAGGTCTATGGTCACCACCTCAAAGAGCATGCACAGAGAAGTCCAAATTAAACATGATTTAATGTGAGAAAACGAACAGTAATTATATCGTTTTTACCTCTTGTAACCACAGCCACGTCCAAGAGATCTGAGGGTGCGGGCGCTTCGGTCTGCGCAAGCGCCGGAAAGCGCCGGAAGTGATCTCTCTGAAAAAATTCAACGTTGTCTGTTGATATATCGAAATCGTCTTCCATTGCGATTTCCTGTATATCGAAATATGTTTAGATCTTCACAGTGAAATGTAACACTTCCAAAATCTCTGTGTAAACAATGAGTGACGTACACGCGCGAGAGATCACTTCCGGCGCTTGAGCAGACCGAAGCGCCCGCGCCCTCAGATCACTTGGACGTGGCTGTGGTTACAAGAGGTAAAAACGATATAAATACTGTTCGTTTTCTCACACAAACCGCTCGTTTCGTGTCTTAGGCAATCAATGTGTACTTACATTTACGAGTCATTAAGTCATGTTTAATTTGGACTTCTCTGTGCATGCTCTGTGCATGCTCTGTGCATGCAAAAAAAAAAAAAAAAAAAATTAATCCTTTCCTCTAAATCCTCGCTTGCCTGGCTTATGCTACTCCGAGCTATGTCTGAACTTTGTAATTTGAGCACTTCTTGCGTTGCTTTTGCCTCTTCACGATGACTCGCTTGGTTTAGTCCTCAGTTGTAAGTCGCTTTGGATAAAAGCGTCTGCTAAATGACTAAATGTAAATGTAAAATGTAATGCTCTTTGAGGTGGTGACCATAGACCTGCATTATATGACTGACAGACAAGAACGGTTTGACCTAAAAATATCAAAATTGAAACTACTGCGGAAACAAAGACACCTACATCTTGGATGCCCTTGAGGTAAGCTAAAACATACCAAAAATGTATTTCAAAGTGAACTATCCCTTTAAGACCTGCACAGTATCAAACTACATCTTATGAGTTGTCTTTTACTGTATAGTGACAAAAACAAAGCCTTCTTTTAAACATCTAAAAAGCTTTATAATGTGGTCTTAATATTAATAAGTGGTCTTTGTCTGCTTTAAGTAAAGTTACAAAAGCTAAGTATTCTTTTAAACAGCCATAAGATATCATGAATTGGTTATAAGACATTTCCCTTAAGGTAAAATCAAAGTTTTGTGGAAAAGTACAAATAAAACAATGCAATCAAAATGCAAATCATGTTTTATTCATAGGCTTTACCAAATCTAATAAGTAGGTAGGTATTATTACTGTGGTTTATAATGAAATGATACAACTCATAAGGTTGTTTATAAGGCTTTATGTGTGCATTATAATGCATTAAGAATTCCCTTATGATGCTGTAATGATTTAGTCCACTGGAGGCAAGTTGAAGCGAGAACCCAAATGCAATTTATTAACAAAACGTGATCAAACATAAAACAAAGGTATGACGAGGCATGAAACTGGAAACTCAAAACAAGAACATCGACAGAAAACATCCAATACTAGACAAATACACAGGGCAAACATGAGGGCTTAAATACACAGACTAATTACAAGACAAGGAACACCTGTGAACAATGATCAGACGATTAACCAATGACAAGACACATGGCAGGATCACAATACAAACAGGGAATCACGTGACAAGACACAGAAACATGACAATGACAAGAACAAGAAACAAAACCCAAAACGTGACACACTCTGGCGTGGCAGTGGCCATCTTGGGAAGAGACTCTGGTGTGGCGGCCATCTCGGGACGAGACTCTGGCGTGGCGGCGGCCAACTCAGGACGAGACTCTGGCGTGGCGGTGGCCATCTCAGGATGAGACTCTGGTGTTGCGGCTGCCATCTCGGGACGAGACTCTGGCGTGGCGGCGGCCATCTCAGGACGAGACTCTGGCGTGGCGGTGGCCATCTCAGGATGAGACTCTGGTGTTGCGGCAGCCATCTCAGGACGAGACTCTGGCGTGGCGACGGGCATCTCGGGACGAGACTCTGGCGTGGCGGCGGCCATCTCGGGACGAGACTCTGGCGTGGCGGCGGCCATCTTGGGACGAGACTCTGGCGTGGCGGTGGCCATCTCGGGACGAGACTCTGGCGTGGCGGCGGCCATCTCAGGCTCTGCAGGACTGACGTGAAGCTCAGGCTGAGGGGATACTGTGGGCTTGCGGGGCTCCTTATTCGTGAAGCCCACAGTAAATGACAAGCCGCTTGACAAAAGGGCAAAATCCATATACTGCACCAGAGTGCAGTGAAGGATTTTGGCAGGCATGAGGTAGTACAGACGCTCATCCAGTCCATGGCGAAACATGTCCTTCAAGACACCAGGATTTTGGCCACCCCATGGCAAAGCTCACAGAATTCCCTCACGTAATCCTCAATTGGACGGTCACCTTGGCTGAGGCAGAAGAGACAAATGGCTGGGTCCATGTTGATCTAGTATTCTGTAATGATTTAGTCCACTGGAGGCAAGTTGAAGTGATAACCCAAATGCAATTTATTAACAAAACGTGATCAAACATAAAACAAAGGCATGACAAGGCATGAAACTGGAAACTCAAAAACAAGAACATCAACAGGAAACATTCAATACTAGACAAAGACACAGGGCAAACATAAGGGCTTAAATACACAGACTAATTACAAGACAAGGAACACCTGTGAACAATGATCAGACGATTAACCAATGACAAGACATATGGCAGGATAACGTGACAAACAGGGAATCACATGACAAGACAAAGAAACATGACAATGACAAGAACAAGAAACAAAACCAAAAACGTGACAGATGCATTATAAATGCAGGCTTCATCTGGTGTTGTAATGCATTGTAACTATTGTTATGATTATTTATCAGATGATACAACACATTATAGAGTTGTTTTTAAGGCATTATGCATGTATTATAATGCATTAAGAATATCAATATAATGCATTTTAAATACAGGCTTCATATAAAGTGTTACCGAAGTTTTTAACAAGGAAGCTTTTTGTTGATACATCTGTACATATATACACAAACAGTTGAATGATAATAAATTCGATTTCAGACATTGCTTGATTTTACACATGCACACAAAAAGGCTTTGTAATAATCGGCACAATTACTTCACTACTTATGATATCAAAACGAGAAAATGTTAACTGATTAATCAGCTATAAAAAAAGAAAGAGAGATAATAGATTTCTATAAAAACAAAACATTAAACAATAGTAATTATTCCAAACTTTTGATCAGTAATGTAAATCAAGCCATTTTACTTCCATCATATTATTTAAGCAAGTAATTAAGGCCAATTTTGATTTCATGTTGACTTTAATACGAATAAGACTAATAAGTGTTTATAATGGCTTTAGTGACAGACTGTACAACTGTACCTGTTTGGCCAGACTGTACTGGTAAGGGTCTGGTTTATAGGCTGGCACCCACTGCAGGCCTCCCTGCCCTTGACTCTTGGTGACTGGCGCACTGGTCACCACCTCTGAGTATGGGATGACTGGACCCAGGTCATAGGACCCCAGCGGCTGATGTTGATGGTGGGAGTGATAGTGGTGGTGTCTGCTGGAGGTGGAGTGGCCAGCTGAAGCTAGACTAAAGGCTTCCTCTAGCAGGAGATGCATCTGCTGACGAACCTCATCTATGGAAGGCTGAGAGCTCAGCGTTGATGTCTCAGATTGACCTTTGATTTGTCGACCACAGCCAAAATAATGGCGGCCCGCTAGACGGTCGACGTCAGTCTCTTCAATAATCTCCGGCTCAGTCTGCAACAGAAAAAGAAACAAACACAAACAGACTCACGTGTATTTAAAAGCTGCTGAATTGTCATATTCAAAATAAAAATAAAGGAATCGTTCACACAAATATTTAAATTCCGTGATCTTCATTGTTCAGATGGTTTTCTTTCTTTTGTGGGAGATTGATTACCATTCAATGTGTTATAATGTGTATAAAAAATGGGGTAATGAAGATACAAAATCTTATTTCTGCTGTTGCAGATTCAAACCTAGTGCATAAATAGTCCAGTGCACCAGGTTTGGCATTAAACAGTGTTAAACACCATTGGTTCTCCATTGGCAGAGTAGAAGAAAAATTTTGGTATGTAATCATGGACTACTTTTATGATGATTTTATGTTGCTTTTGTCCCTGGTCACTGTATGGAAATGAATTAACGTTCTTCAAAAAAATTTTTGATCTACATCTGTCAGAAAATATCATACAGGTTTAGAAGAATATGAGGGTCAGTAAATGATGACAATTTTAACTGTTTTACACATCAAAGGGTCTAAACAGCTGAAACATTATGAAACTAACACAATATTAGCCCAACCAGACAGGAAATCTCAGTGCCTGTTTAGAGCTCCTCTGTGATACCAAGATTCTGCTGACATGCCGAAATTATTAGTCAAGTCTGGCAAAGAAAAAAGTCAAGAAAACAATGAAAATGTTTACTGTACAATGACTCCAACCTGATATTTTACTAAGGAGCCCCTAAAGTGTCATGGTGATGTAAAAAATATGAGATGTAAAAAAAAGTACATATATCTTTGCTTTCACGTTCTCTAGCAAAATCTTTGCATTCAACAAGAAACTTTGCGTTCCCTTTCAAAAGCTACTCTCAATGCTGCGCTAAGCACTATGGGAAAACTTTGTGTGTGACCGGCTGTAAATAATGAGTGTAATTGAAATTGGCCTTGAACTTGAAATTATGTTTTATTAACAAAGTTCGGGAGGAACACCATCAAATAATCTATCCGATCATCACGTCATTCCAACCAGCAGTCAGCAATCAGTAATCAACATGTCTAACTCGGAGCTCAAGCTAAGCCTCCTTCAAGGACAGCAAGCCAAGTTAGTTTACTATTAACCTTCAAGGTTGAATGGGCAGGCGAACTAGTGAATCTGTTATGTTAAGGGTTCCAACACAGTTAGAAGGTATGACATTTTGATTTGAGTCATTTCTAGGTTGGGATTAGTATGGAAAGGAAACTAAAATTAAAAGAAATAAAAAAAAAAATTCATACAAGTATTGTGTTTTCACGGCAAAAGTTTAGTGATCCTTTAGTGATTGTCAAACACAATTGAATAAATTCAAGGTCAAACAATTTTTATGCAAAGCTCTTAGTCTTTTAGCATAAGTTTCTTTTGAACTTCACTAAATGAATGCGTGTGTGCCACTCAAACCAGCAACAGATAAAGGAACAAATAAAGAGTTTGGTTCCAAAACGCGATTAACGCCATTTTTTTTTAATTCGTTCCCGCAAAAATCAGTATTGTACTGGTCGGTATTGAAAAGTCAATTTTTAATTTTACGTAAAATGCGATATCTGCCGTGTTATTCTGTCATGTTTTCTCCCTTTCTTTCCAAACCGTGACAAATGCCAGTCTCCCTTCTCTGCAGAATGTGATACATCCGCTCAACCAAACTCTTCAAATGATCATCTAAATCAGACTGTACTTTGCTGTTTGATGATCATCCAACATCAAACAATGATTACAGTATCAAACCGATGTGGCAGAGGTGAATATATGCAGGTTATAAAAGTTCTAGGCTTCTCATGTAAGCGCATGTTATCACTTCGAGAAACCAATGAAAAAAAAACCAGAGGAAATAAGAATATTTATAAAAACGTTTAATAATCAATATCTTAGCCCCGTAAGGTTTGCGCTCAGCTCAGGATTCCAATCGCCCAGGATAAACCATGGGTCCAGCCATGTTCATTGAATTCTGGACATTAACTTGGATACAGTTCATTTCCAGGCCTCACTGCACAAGGAAAAATCGATAGGATATTTCTGGTCTTGTCCACCTTCCCAGACAGTCTAAACTGTTCTAAACGCGAAATGCTATCTTTGCTCAGCCCCTTAAATTTCAAATGCGCATAATCCTGCAAGGTCGCCCTTTCATCTCTTACCTCCTCTTCCTCGAATGAACAAAAGACGCGACCAGGCCCCATTCTCCTAACCCTAACCAGGCACTCTCCACCTCCCTTCGCTCAGCCACACAACGCGGATTTTCCCGGCGCCGCACCCCATACAACAATGACTGCCCCCTCAACAAATGCCTTCCCCATAGCGTGAAAGTGAAGTTAGAAATCTATTTGCGTCTACAGCGAAAAGAGGAAAATGAGAGTCACTCAAGGTAAATGGTGTGTGTTTCTGCATTCACGGCTCAACACACACCAGTTTTGCTTTGTGTGTTTGGGGAAAGAGCATGCTGCTCTTGCATTGGAGCACGGCGATTGTGAGCACTGTGAACTGTTCACCATTAAAGTGCTTTGCGCTCGCGAGTCGATCTGGCTGAGGAGTGAGAGACGGGTCTGTCCTTATCGCTCTCTCTCTCTCCAGATCGGGATGTAATCTTGCCTGACTCCGAAGCGTGCCCGGCGCTTCTTCGGTTCGGGCAGAGGACAGAGCATCTCTCGTTTCTGGCGAGATTGATTTTGAGTCACCGCCTCCAAACATTTCTCCCGTGATGATAAAGTGCAGGGGGAACTACTCGAGGCGGTCACTCGTGCAGTGCATAAATGCTTAAAGTCAGCCTCCTTGACAAGTTAACTTATTTGGCTACATTTAATTCTGAGGAATTAGATTATGAAATAGCCATCTAAAAAAATGGACTTTGAGAGAGCCGCCTCTGAGTGCTCCTCCCGTGATGATAAAGCATGTGAGAAGTTACTCGAGATAGTGACTCGTGCAGTGGCCAGATTACAGCTAGACTGCCCCTTCTTGAGGACCTTCATGACGTTAACTCGTTCATGGGGGGAACCTTATTCTTTCTGTGTCTATGTGCCTTTGACGTCAACATATTCGACTATCATGGGTCCAAGGGCATGTGGTTATACGATGATGCCCCAGTCTGAAGAGCCTGGTTTCTCCCAAGGTTTTGGGTTGCGAGATGCAAGATGCTAACAACAGACACTTCCCATATGGGCTGGGGAGTGGTCTTAGGTGGCCATCCAGCCCGGGAAACCTGGTGAGGTCATCATCTCGATTGGCACATCAATTGCCTCGAATTGATGGCTGTATTTATGGCCCTGAAGTACTTCATCCAGCAGTAAAGAGGCTACCATGTCCCATTGCGGGTGGACAACACTATGGCAGTCACCTACATTAATCGCCATACGGACTGTGTTCAGGCTGTCTGCACAGGCTAGCGCAGCAGGTTCTGCTTTAGGTGCAGGTTCTGCTTTAAGTTCCTGTCCTTTAGGGCGATTTACACCCTTAGTAGCAGATTTGGGAGAGATTTTATGAAGCAGAGGTGTCCTCTTTGCCTCTCAAGGGACAGCACAATGTCCCCTCTGCTTCTCTCTGAATCACCCAGATGTCATAAAGACCACTCTCAGTGCTAGGAATCTATGCCACTAAATGGGTTGTCTTTTATAAGGTGGTGTACTGCCCGCTGTGCAGACCCAGTTAACTGCCAGATTGCTTCAGCACTAGAATTTCAGCAGGAGAAGTTATCCTCCCCTCGTGGGACTAGGCATGTGCCGGTATCAAATTTTCATGCTGCGATTAATTGATTGAGCTTTTATCACGGTATACGGTATTATCACGATATTTTAATTGCACAAGAGAAACAGACGGATTGGGGGTATCTAAAAAATACTTGCATCACAATGTGTAATTGGGATTGTCAAAACATTAATTTTATTTTTTAGTGACAACATGTTATAATGTTTACATGGTACAGTTACTGAGGCTACTGTTTGTATTATTGCTTAACACAATTTTCATGATTTCAATTAAATTCTTGGATTTAATTTCAATCTTGATTCAATATTGACTCATTTGGATAAATATTAGGTAGGCTACAGTAGATAGCCTGCATTTAATTTTTTCTCAAGAAAAAATATATCTCACATAATGCTGTAAACATACAGAGAGAAATTAAATATAATGCATACAATATAAATATAATAATAATATAAATATAAAAATGTAATATGCCGTAATTTTCATTATAATAACAATTATATAATGACAAGTAAACATATATTAAAATATGTAATATAGTGCACATATTTAGCAAAATACTCCTCTCTATAGCTATTTTCTTATAGTCAACTAACATTAAATGGCTTTCCTGAGGTAAATGTAACGTTCTGTGACATAATTGTTCTCCTGCAGTGTTATTGACCTCTTTCCGTGGTTGAAAAACACTGATTGATCGAAAGTACGTACCTTTCGGTGGGTTGTACTGTATCTTTAATAAAAAGTAACAGATGATCTGTTTACTTGAACTGAGGCGCGCGATCTGTCACATCATTTACAAGCACCAAAACAGTATTTATTGTCTGAATTTCGTTATAAAACCTGAGAGCTGATATTTTTTTCATATCAAAAGTAACCTGCTCTGTCTAGTCTGTCGGTGTCAGTGTCCTCTTTGCTCCGCGATTTTTCTCTGCGTGAGAAAATGGATGTGTGGCGCGAGACCGTGTGAAAGTGTCAATTGCGTGAGTCTCAAGCTGAATGCGTGAGAGTTGGCAGCCATGCGGGGGATAAATAGTCGGCAGCGTTCCTCCTTCCGCCGTGCTTCTTCTCCATGTGAGGATTGTTTACTAGAGTGCGCAGTGCATGCACACAGTGCTTATACATGTGATGTGGGGATTGTTTACATCAAAGTGCGCACGTGTTTTGCGCAGCATACGCATTGTTTTTTAAGCGGTTGATGGAAAATAAGCTGATGCGCGTTCTAAAAATCTAAATTCGGATCTATTATTTTTCACGGTATTTCGAAGTCCCCCCGATAACAATATCGTG